CCCCACCTCCCCCTCTCCCATGTTCCCCCGGAACTGTCAGTCCCGTTGTTTTCTCCTCCAGATTGTTCATCGACATTGATTCATTTCTTGACTGCTGTTTCCGGGGGCATTGATTGGGGCACTGAGTAAAATGGCATTCGTGACATCGTCAGTCTTTGTCCCTGTTCTCATTGGTCTGGTTGTAAGATTGTGTTTTACGTTGCGGTGTACTCCACACGTAAGTCTCTGATCTTCATCAAATGCTTCACGGCTGCTTCACTTTCTGTAACAGGCTTTGTCATCTGCATACTGCATCTTGATGAGCCTTCTTCATTCCTGACGTCATGTTCTTTTTAAAAAAACTCTCAGTTACTGATAAGAGAAACGATCCTTTCTGCCCTTTTTTTCCCCTTAGGATTCTCAAGTCTACTTTGTGTTTTTTGTTTTAATAGTCCAGCTTCTTAGGTTCTTTGCTCAGCACTAAGTTAATATTAATAAGTATGTTGAAAGGATACAGCCATGACACACACCTTTCTTGATTTTAAACCACACAGTGTCCAGTTTTTTGTTTGGATGACTGCCCCTTGGTCTATGTACAGGTTCCATACGAGCACAGTTCAGTGCTCTATAATTCCCATTCTTTGCGGTGTTATCTGTAATTTGTTATGATTCACAGTCGAATGGCTTTGCAGTTCGTTTTCAGCAGTTTGAGCATTACCATGTGGTGCATGAAGAGAGCTCACCAAATGGTAGCCCAGCATCTACTTTCCACTCATGTTATATTCTTTGTCTCAAGCACTACCCCCTTTGTCCTCCTGTTCACCTACATTTTTCTCCTGTTCCATTAACCATTAGTGACTCTGGTTTCTTATAATCTGCCTAGACAATAGGTTCTGTTGTTAAGAAACTGTGCCGCAACAGCTGATCACTGGGAGAAGGTGGTGACGATATGGCTAGCTTCCTTCTGCCAGGGTGACCAGTAGAGGCCCCTGGATTCTTAACCAATTGCTTCCATAAGAACTAATCTTGCTCCCTGGCCTTTTATTTCATTGGCTCTTGGAGATGACAGTGTCAGACCCTCAGGTAATGAATTTAATGGGGAAATTGCTCTTGATATATGAAAGTTTTGGAATTTATGCATTTCAGTCCCTATCCCTCATATATGTCCCTTATTACTTAGACTTTAGATATAAGGGAAATCTACTTATAATGTATCTTTTATATTGGAAAGGGGCCTGGTGGCACAGTGGTTCAAACGCTGTGCTGCTAATGGAAAGTTTGGTGCTTGAGTTGCACCAGCCGCTCTGGGCGAAAGCTGTGGCAATCAGCTTCCGGGAAGATCTGCAGCCTTGGAGACCTAGGGCGATTCTACTCCATCCTGTAGGTGGTTTTCAGGGGCAAGGGGTTCAGATTGGGTTTTAAGTTTGGAGTAATAGTTTAAGAGTAAATTACAGTAATTTCCACACGAAGCCAAACTTTATAGTATTTCCTTGTAACGTATTTGTTGCTAAATGTGTTAGCTGAGATTTGTTAGAACGTAAGCCTTCTTATTTAAAAATAAGCCCTATTTCATGTCATGAACCACCAGGAAGCTTGTTAAAATACACTGGGGTTATTTCAGAAGACTTTCAAAATAGGACACAGCGAATGTGCTCCTTGATCTTTGATGTTTCTGTTGCAGAGTCTTTGACAGCAGCCGTCTGTCCACTCGGCTTCCTCTCCTCACCACGATCAGGTAGGTTTCCATTTGTCCAGCAGTGAAGACTGGATTAGGTGAGCTGCTGATGGAAGTGCAGATGTGCTGTTTGTCAGAGATGGACCAGGGCTGCTGTTAGGTGTCCCGGAATTGGTTCCGATTCTCAGTGACCCTATATGCACAACAGTACGAGGCACCAGACCAGGCCTGCTTCGTTATAATTGCATTGTTTCTGTGCCTAGTTTCTACGCAGAAGGGTTCTTTGTTTTCAGAAGGATTTTTACTCCCAGGTTCCCTGTATCTATAGAGGGTTTAATCTCAAGTTACTGTGCTGCTGAGAAGATATTTTTGGTTAAGGTTAATGATTTTAGTTAGTCCTGAATAACTCATGTTATCTTCTGATCTCATTCATAGCTTCTTGTCCGAGCGGTTTTGAATGTATGTGTGCATGCTTCATGTCAAACGGAGATGTTTACTCCTTGCCTTGCCCATGGTATCCCTTATTGTTGGCATTTATGAAGTTGGCAGGGTGTGTGATATACGAGGGGGTACCCAAAAAAACCCCGGAAGTTTTCCTCAAAGTTATATATTTAAATTTTTTACAAAACCTTATCACCTTCAAAGTACTCTCCATTACACTTAGTAAATTTGTCAAATCTGCGAACCCATTCTGGAAACACTTTTCAAACTCATCTTTTTGGATGCCTGACAGTACCTCACTTTGTTTTTTCTTCACCTCTTCTATGTTGTCAAATCACTGTCTTTTCACGTCCCTCTTCATTCGCAGAAACAAACAAGTCGCACAGAGCGAGGTCAGGTGAGTTAGGTGCACGGGGCAAGAGAGGCGTGCTGTTTTTGGCAAAAATTGGCACACACAGATGGCTGTGCGAACAGGTACATTGTCATGGTGGCAAAACCAGTTTGCAACAACCCTTCTCATTCCCAAATCTTCCATTAAAATTCGCTAAACTGAGCTCCAAGGTAGATAACTTTCCCATCTCTTTAGTGGTCTGTCCAGTGGTCTGTCGTAGGTCTCCAATCACAAGTGCACACATTTTGTCATCCATTGGGGAAGTTGACAGACATCCAGAAGGAGGTTTATCATCAATCGACATTTCACCTTTTTTGAAATGAGGAAAACACACGTAAGTTTTTCCCATAGCGCTGCCCTCGTAAGCAGTGTTCAATATCACAAGTTTCTGTGGCATTTTTTCTCAGTAGGTAACAAAATTTCACAGTCGCACATGATTCTCTTAAATCAGCCATCACCAAAAGTGAGGTTCGCAGGAAACTGCTTTTACGAAAAAAAAAAAAAATCACTGACCAGCGAGAACCTTCCCAGGCGATGCCACTGGGTACATTAAGAGTGAGTTGCTTGATGCTCACCTAGCAGGAAAAATGTATACTATGGGAGACCCAGTGGGACTTTATTCTGTTGGTGTTTTGTTTTTTTTGGGGGGGGGTGACCCCTTGTATTTGATGGTTGCTTCATGAGTAAGGTGACCAGATTTTAGCATTGGTAAAGCGGGACACCATTGATAAAACTAATATCCTGGCGAAATAGCCACATGGCAGCCGAAAACCATATACCAACTAGCTTGTCATGCATTCTTTCCAAAAATCAGGACTTTTTAAAAACGTGGGACGCGGAAAAAATTGTTAAAAATCGGGACGTCTGGTCACCTTCATGAGTTTTATAACTTGAAATATGTTAGTCTCTTTTTCAGAAGTTTTCCACCTTTTAAAAATTTAATTTCGAACTTTTCACTCTAGTCTTTCAGTTTCTAATGTATTTTCTATTTCCAGAATTAACTAGAGTGATGATTGTTGTGTCAGGAATCGTTATTAAAGATTGGGTGGTGGGAAATGTATTTCTCTAGTCTGTGCTAGCTAGTGGTATTATGATAGAATAAAAATTAGCCCTTATGGTTTTGCTTTAGAGAGCTGTAAAAGACCCAACATACATGTATTTTGGACTTTAAAGTTGCATGGATTATAGTTTCAGGCCTCAGTTACCAGGGGAATGCAAACATGGGAAACAGCAGGCCCTGTCAAAGCAACCACCAATAACTTAGATTGCACATTTCTTTATTTCGAAGGCATCATGTTTGGATGTGTTAGAAAAGGGATTTGCCCTGGGACAGTCCTGGCCCTAACATTGGCCATTGAGCTAGGAAAAGAGCAAAAAGAAGTACCATTTCAACAGAGAGTGAACTGCTGCTCTGCACTAACCACTGGCGAGCCCAGAAGGATGCTGCTGCCTCTTCCCTGTAATAGTGCAGGGGAGGAGAGAAAGTAAATGGAAATTCAGTAATTTGGGAAGAGGCTTAGCAGAGAAAACAAGCATATGTGGGACCGTTGTCATCTTTACCCCTGTGCAGTACTGTGGAGTTAAACATTTCCTTTTGAAAAATACTGTTGTTTTTTTAAATCCCCTAGGCATGAAACCAACTCTGGGCGATGGCTGACCAGGTTCCAAGCCAACTGGGACCCTAAACAAGAAGATTGTGTTGTCGTTGGCAGCATGGCCTACCCACGGCGGGTAGAGGTCTTCCATGAGACCGGAAAGCGGCTGCATTCTTTTCTTGGAGAATCCCTTGCCTCTGTGTGTTCCATCAATGCCATGCATCCGACTCGATTTATTTTGGCTGGAGGCAATTCCAGCGGGAAGATCCATGTGTTCATGAATCAGAGCGATGCTGGGTGTTTGGTTTAGCGGCATAGATGTGTTCATATTAGTCAAGGCCTAAGGACCCCGTGAAGAGAAAGTTGGCGTGTCATACAGAGCAAATGTAAAGCTGCTTTAAGGTTAAGAGTATTCCAATGGGGGAAAAACAATAAAAGAATATTCTAATGAGCACAAATTCTTTTGGTTGGGGAGCCATGGAGGCCTGCTTTTTCTCCAGGGGAGGAAGGGCCATGCGGGCAGGCTGACACACCATTAGTGCTGTTACTCAGGCAGTATGTCGAAAGATTCAATTAATTATAAAGCTTTAAATGGTCAGTATTATGTTTTTGTGGTCCAATGATACTGTTTTGAATCGAGTGAAATTTTGATTTATGGTTTCTATTTTAGCTTGGTGTATTTTGAGACCCACACACAATTTTTTTTTTGGGGGGGGGGCAACAACAAAAAAATCCATTGCCATCAAGTTGAAGGGGTCAGAAAAGTCCATTTATTCAATAGTTTTGAAGCTTAGTTTTTTTCATGGAAAACTCCCCCTCCCCCCTCCCCCCCCCATCCCTAATGTGAAACTGCAAGGTAATAGTTTAGTGGTGGTGGTCGATGTGGGGCAGGGCCCGGGTCTGTGCTGAGTCTTTCCCTTACTCCCTTTACTCCCTCTTTTGGATGAGGTCCCGAGACATCACCAGGACATCTAGGGCTCTTTGGCACACTGACTAGATCTGCCTTAACCTGTATTCCAAAAGGATTGCCTTAACAATCATTAACTACAAACTCAATGTTAATGGTCACAGATAGTGCTTAAATAAGTGAAAAATAAAGAAGAGTTGTTTGGTGAAACTTGGTTCATTTGCTTATATCTATGTAGGCGTGTGTGAGTGAGATTATGATATACATTTATTTCTCGCTGTTGAATTGTGAGTCCAGGTTAAGCAAGTGAAAGCTACTGCCTTAAAATGTAGTCTTCCTTAACTCTGTAAAGGCACCAGGAGAGATTGAATAGCTTGTTAAGTGAATACGTTCATTCATTTTGTGGAAATGTTATGGAATATTCACAACTCTATTTCTTCACTGAGCTGTTTTCTCAGAAGCTAAGATGATTTAAATATGGGGGTTGTGGGGAAAGAAAATGATATGTCACTTTACTAATATTAACTGAACTGGAAATGTTTTAAGTTTTATGAAATATTTTTTCATATAATTGTATGTTACAAAAATAAAGTGATACCTATAATTTCTTTAAAGGACAGTTTTCTAAATAATTTTTCTGTAATTAAATGTTTTGAAGACTTTGTTTATTAATTAATAAGTTGTGGGTGTTAAGGATTTTGTCATTAAGTGCTGTAGAGTTGATTCTGACTCAGAATTGGCCATAAGGTTTCTCAAACTAATCTTTTTTTGTGGGGTGAGGTGGGCAAGTGAGATTATATTTGGGTGAAGATTTACAGAGCGGAACAGTTTTCCATTTTCATTTAACAATTCATGCATGCTTTTTTCATGTTATGGGTCACAATTCCTGCAATGCAAAAGCCCTTCTGTCCACTTCTTCCCTAGGCGGATTTCCATTCCTTCTCCTTTTCTAACTCTTCTGAACTTTCTCATTGGGCAAATACTGCCTTTTGATCTTAAATGGTTGATTATTCTTCTACTTATAGACCTGTTTATTGTTTGGCTGAAAACTGAGCCATGGGAGAGTTTGTTTCCAGACCCGAAGTCCTAAGGGTTCCACCAGTCTTCATTCAACCAATAAGCCTGGTCTTTTTAATGATTTTGAGTTGTGTCCCAAGTAATAAAGGTGTAATGTTTCAGAAACAGATTGCCAGGTGGCTTTCCTGTGGAGCCATTGGATGAGTTTGAACTAGAAACTTGTCCATTTGCAGTGGAGCACTTAACCATTATGAGATCAGGGTTCATTTCTCTGCATGTTAGGAGTCCAGGAATTGATGAGAGCATTATGAAACGGAAAGTTAAGCTGAAAGGCTGTTGTGTGTTTATGCTGCAGAGGGAAGCCACCTCCCACCCCCCACCCACCCCCTTTACTCGCAGGTTCTGGAGTGGTTTCTTCTATGACAGTTGTTCTTTTTCAGATGCTGAAAAACACTCGATCTAATCAGTACCATCGTTTACGCTTTGAATACTGGGCAGTAACCGCCTGGCTTCTGCCTTAAATTTCAGCCAACTCTTGATACTTCTCTTGTTTATGGTTCTGCTCCTTCTATCCTATTCCACTTAGGAGTTTTATGCCTTCTTGAGCTAATGCAGGAAAGAGTGAGTGGTAGCTTCCTTGGTGATAAGCTTTACAATGCATTAATTGTTTAAATCTAGAAAGCACTTGACGAAAATGGTCTCCCTTATGACATTCTTAACTGTAGTGAAAGGTATGTTTTCCCTGAGACGCCTTTAAAATTGTGTGGCTTTGGTAATTATGTGTGTGTTGTAGCTCCCTCCCTTCCAGATAAACCTTTTTTGTAAGTTTGGTCCTTATCATCCGTCTGAAGTACTTAAGCTCCAAATTCCACTTGAATTATTTTGAGATGCCTAGCCTTTCCCCCACCCCACCAAAACATGACTTGCAGGAAGGAGGCTTAGACTAGGAAGAGAGTTTAAATTAGAAATTGATAGTCTGGGAGCTTTAAGCCCTCTTAGTATTCTCATCTTGTAAATTTCCTGCCCAAAGATTTTGCAAAGGCAGTTCACTAGGAATGCAGGGAGTGCTAGGCTGTAGATGCAAAGATTTAAATCCTTTCAGCCAGCACACAGAACACGAGGGCATAGGGGGCTGAGGCAGGCAAAGCACACCTGTGCCGCCTCTGTCAAACCCAGGAGGAAGACATACGTGCCCTCTAAATTAGTCGTTTACTATGCTGGGAATGACAGATTCAAGAGGAATGGTGTTGCATTCATCCAAAAGGACATTTCATTATCTTGAAGTACAATGTATCTAATAGGATAAACTCTAAACACAAGCCCAGTCAATTTAGCTCTTAAAATCTGCAGCTACCACTAAAGCTAGTGATGATGAAATTGAAATATTTTACATCTTCAGTCAGAAATTGATCAAACGCTCTCAAGGTGCATTGATGATTATTGACAATTGGAGGACAAAAGTTGTAAACATTGGAAGGAATAGTAGTTGGAAAATAAAGTGATAGAAATGAAGCTGGAAATTGCATGACCGAGTTTTACAAGCCCAATGACTACTGCAAATAACTCCCAACACAAAAGACATTCATAGATGTGGCTTTCCGAGAGGAATGCACAGAGATCAAATTGACTGCAAATGTGGGAGGAGGCAATGGAGAGCTTACGTAGCAGGAGCTAAAACCAGGCCAGGGACTGATGGACAGCCTAGCAATTTCTCATATGTAAGTTCAGGTTGAAGTTGAAGGAAATGAAATCAAGCCCATGAGAGCCAAATGATGACTTTGAGTCTATCTCACCGGAACTTTGAGGGCATCGAATACTAGTAACAGAAGACTAGCTGTGGGATGATACTAAGTACATACACGAGGGAAGCAAAAGGTCATTTAAAAAGGCCCTTGGGCCTAAATATTGATCTGTGTGGCTACAAAAGTAATGGGGAGGGGGAACATGGGAAAGAAAAAGAAGAAACTGAAACTTGTTCTTAATCGTAGAGTCAGGCAAATGGAAGAAATGCTGAAGTCAAAGAGCTGAACAAAATTTCAAAGGGCAGCTTAAAACAGGAAAATTAATGAAAACCAAAGTAAAATGCAAACAAAACCTAAAAATATACTCAGCACACCTTAAGTTGAAAGAATTCAAGGAAAAAAATTCAAGCCTCAAGTTGCAATATTGAGAGATTCTACGGGCAAAAACTTGAATGGTACAGGAAGCATAAAAAATGTAAAGAATAGACAGTCACTTTTTTTAATAGCCACTTTACTAAAAAGAACATTGGCATTCCACCATTTCAAATGGTAGCATGTAAGCGAGAACTAGTGGCACGACAAGAAGTTTAAGCTGTACTTAAGCATTAGTTCAAAACAAGACTCCAGGAATTGAAACACCAATTGAAATGTTTCAACAAGTTGATGAAGTGCTGGAAGCACTCGCTTTTCTATGCCAGGAAATTTGGAAGACAGCTAGTTCACCAACTGAATGGAAGAGATCCATATTTACACCCATTCCATAGAAAGGAGACCCAATAGGATGCAAATTATAGAACAGTATCATTAATGTTACAGGCAAGTAAAATTTTGTTGAATATCCAACAATGGTCGAGCAACAGTACATTGCCAGAAGTTCAGACTGGATTCAGAAGATGTGGAACAAGGGATAGCATTGCTGATGTCAGATGAGGCTTGGCTGAAAGTAGAGAACACCGAAAGATGTTGACCTGTGTTTTATTGACCACGCGAAGGCATCTGTGGATCATAACAAACTGGATACCCTTGAGAAGAATGGGAGTCCCCAAACACAAAATTGCCTTCATGCAGAACCTGAACATGGATCAAGAGGCAATTGAGCGAACAGAACAAGGGAAAACTGCAATGTTTAAAATTTGGAAAGGCGTGCATTAGGGTTGTGTCCTCTCACCATACTTAATCTGTGCTACGCAAATCATCAGAAAAGCTGGACTATATGAAGATGAATGCAGCATCAGGATCAGAGGAAGGTTTATTAATCTGCAATATGCAGGTGAGACAGTCTTGCGGAAAGTGAGATGGCCTTGAAGCGCTTGTTGATGAAGGTGGGGAATTGCCACCTTTGACATGGATTACAACTTAATGTCAAGAAGACCAAGTTTCTCACAACTGGCCCAGTAGATAACATTGTAAGCAACAGATCCACAGCTCATGGAATCAACAGGCAAGATATCAAAGAACACACTGCAACGGGTTAAATCTGCTGCCCTAGGCCTCTTTTAGGTATTGAAAAGCAAGGATGTTATTTTTGAGGAGTAAGGTGGCCCTAACCCTAGCTTTGGTGCTTTCACTTGTCCCACATGTACATGAAAGATGGACATCGAATGAAGACCGAAGATGAATCTGCATTTAAATTAGGATGCTGGTAAGAACACTGAAAGTACTATGGACTGCCAAAATAACATACACATCGCTCTTGGAAGATGTACAGCTTGAAGGCACCTTAGAAGGGAGGGCGGCAAGACTTTGTCTCGTGAACCTTGGGTGTATTCCCAGGAGAGACCTGTTCCCTGGAGAAAGAACATCATGCTTGGTAGAGGGGCAGCGAGGGAGGGGAAAAAAATGAGCTGATGCCAGAGACTTAAGTGGAGAGCAAATCATTTGAGAATGATGAGGGCAATGAATGTACCAATGTGCTTTGCACAATTGATGTATGTATGGATTGTGATCAGAGTTGTATGAACCCCTAATAAAATGATTTTAAAAACTCAAACAAAGGAAGACCCTTGATGAGACGGAGTGACTTGGCTGCCATCATGGGCTGGAACGTGGTGAAGGTTGAGGATAGGGCAGGGCTGGGCAAGTGTGATTCTGTTGTACATAGCTAGGGTCATGCTGAGTAGGAATGGAGCCAGGGGCATCTAACAATGAGGAATGAGGGTGACACTGTTTTACTTCCAAGGTGGTATAGACTCATTTTCTGGCTCATTTGGCTTTTGAATGGAAAGGTAGAAATTTGTGAGGGAGATGCATTTAGCACAGTTACGTGGCACTGAGGAGCAAAATATTTTTAATGGAAGGTGTGCAAGAGGAAATGTTTTAAAAGTATGCTTTATCTGTTTCATCCTCAGTAAGTTGAAGTGATATGGAACTAAAGTCGAAAGTGTAGGCAGTCAAAACTGATCGGCCTCACAATCCCAATTCTACCTTACAAATCCGGCTAGACCGGAGGATGTACACTGGTACAGATAGGAACTGGAAACACAGGGAATCCAGGACAGATAAACCCCTCAGGACCAGTGATGAGAGTGGCGATACCGATACCGGGAGGGTGGAGGGAAGGTGGGGTAGAAAGGGGGAACCGATGACAAGGATCTGTATATAACCCCCTCCCTGGGGGACAGACAACAGTGACAAAATAATTTCTAAATTATCAAGGGTTCATGAGGGAGGGAAAAAAATGAGCTGATACCATGGGCTCAAGTAGAAAGCAAATGTTTTGAGAATGATGATGGCAACAAATGTGCTTGACACAATGGATGGATGTATGGATTGTGATGTGTTGTAGGAGTCCCCAATAAAATGATCTTTAAAAAAGTGACTGGCTGTGATTGAGGATCCTTAAGGGAGTGGACACTAGAACCGTATAAACTTTATAGGGTTTTAGAGTCTAAAGGTATATATGCACAGGTGAGTTCTTGATTTGGTGCCAGCTGGAAGGGAGGCTGCTGGGACTCTGAAGGGTCTTGTGGGACCACACAGGTTTAGGGGTTCTTAGGATACTTGTCAGATTACTTCAGGCAGACTTTTATCACTCAATAAATAACTCCACGGAGGCCAGGGGGGCCATGTGATTGGTAATGGGAACCACAGTCAGTTTTGGGGTAATACTCCCTGACTGGCGGGCAGGTAGTCCTGTGGACCAGGCCCTCATTGACCTTTGTATCCCATGGAATATAGAAGACCATAACCAGTTCTGTAGTTACAGGGCTCCATAGACAGCTGGGATAATGTCACAGAGCTCATGGGGGGGGGGTGGGATCCATTCTTTTCATTCTCTTTCCCTCGTAAACTTTGAAGAGCCCCCTCATTAAATAAAAATGAAAAGTATGAGGTTTATTGCTGTAGTAATAACCTTCTATTCACTTCGTAGGAAGTGCTTTCTGCCCTGTGCTCAGGGCTTCAGTCAGAACATTAGATTGAAGCTGCACCATCAAGGTTCAAGTTTGGGTTTTAAAACGAAGTAGTTAACCTTGGGGTGGGGGGTCAACCTTGGTTTTCTTCACCAGGAAATGAGACCCATTTTATTTATAAATTTCCCCCCATATTTCTCAGTTTCTAATAGCATGTATATTTGGTGGGAAGTTGAAAAACAAAGCAAAAAAACTCCCTGCCATCGAGTCAAATCTGACTCACAGTGGCCCTATAGGACAGGCTAGAACCCCCACCCCCACCCCCCGTGACTGGTGGTTTCCCACCACTGACCCTGTACTTAGTGTAGCGTGTCGCCATGATGCCACCAGGGCTCCTGTGGGTAACAGTGGCTATTAGTAAAATGCTTATTTTGCATGATTCCTGCCCTGAGCGGCAATTAGGTTATGTGCTCTCATTGGCATTTTTAATTGACGTGTTGGTCACTCTTAAGGGGAAGAGGGACTGTTAGTGTAGAAAGAAAGAGCCCACTCTTTTCCATGGTATTTAAATATTTATTTAAGTTTAAAAATAATCTTCATGGCACCAATGATTTTATGCTAACGACATACAGCATATGTAGAAAAAAGTACATTGCTTGGGAGGAAAATGTAACTTAGAATTTTTGGCACACAAAAGGTTAACAACGATTACTTTTTAAATGAAACTAAGAAATTCACATTTGCAGGTAGTTTACCCTCTACTGCTTCAAAGATGCCGCGCACTATTCTTTAGTAAGTTTGATTTCCTCTGATGGATGAAGCTATGGAAACCATTCTTTTTCCTACAATGAGATCAAACTAATTTTCAGAGAAAATAGGAGACACAGTGGAACACGATAAAATCAGGGGAAAAGCTCCGAACAATTTCAAATGGTAGGGAGAATCCAGAACAAGATTGGTCACCATCAAAGGAGGTGTGTTAATTCAAGCACTACTTAAAAAGCAACTTGAAGGAAACTTTTCTATCCATCTTTTATGAGATTAACCCTGGGAGAAAACCCCCATACCACCCCAAAGTTTCTGTTTAGAGAACAAAATTCAGCTGTTGGAAGGGGTATGGCCTATTGGATGTTTACAACTCTAGACACGAGTAACGTATCGGGGAATGGAATACTGCATCTTTCTTCAAGGTGAACATGAAAGGTCAAGGGTTGAGGCTGTAACTCACTGCATAGAAACACCATATTCTACAGACTGAGGTAGGAACACTACACTAAAAGATAATCTATGTTGCATAAGACACCCAGGTCAAAACTAGCCCCCTATCTCCTGACAGCCTTTTCCTCTCTGTCTACTCCCCGCCCCCCCTGTCTACTTCTCAATCCAGCTCTGTCCTGAAGGAAGTCTTTCCTATGTAGATGACAAGTGGCAGTGACCATTGCTTTTAAGTGATCCTTCGTTTTTATCAGGATCTCCGTTTGTTTTGTCACTTGGGAACTAGATGTTGGTGACTCTGCTCAAATCATTGCTGGTATGGAAATGATCAGCTCAGCCCTCTTCCGGTCTAGATTCCAAGGCGTGTGAGCAGTCCCTTCTTGGTCTTGCTCAAGGTAACTTCAGACATCTCTCTGCTGGTTGGTTATTCAAACACCCTTTAAACAAGCAACCCCAGGGCCTCCACAGGCTGAGGGCAAGGGCTGGCGGGGGTGGGTCCTAGATCTCTAAAATGTGTTGGAGCCGAAGCAGATCCAACCCCCTCTGTAGTCCATACTGGGAAGAAGCAAGGTTTTTTTGGTCTAGATCGAAGTGGGCAAATTATGACCTGTGCGCCCAACTGAGCTCACTGCCTGTTTTTGTAACTAAGTAACTGTAACTGGGCTACAGCCAGGCTTTGTTTATCTGTGACTACTTTTGTGCTACAACGGCCACAGAGTTGAATAACTGTGGCAGGGCATGGCCCACAAAATCAAAGTTATAAAAAAATCACCAGGTGTCACCTTGCAGAAGTTAACCTAACCCCTGGTCTAGCTGAAAGAGTTCTCTCTTTAAAATCTTCCCCATCCCAAAACACCTGTTATATTCTAAACGTGGGCTTAGGTCTACTGCCTTGGGACAGGCTGGAGGTCACGCCTATAAATGATTCATTCTGTCAGCCTTTGGGCTGCCCAACATCACGGGTGTCGCTGACCACAGTTAAGAGGCATCTGCAGTCCTTCACTGTGGGTTGGGTCCCAGGAATCTGTCCACTAACAATCCTTAAATAAGTCGTCGGGCCCCAGATGGCTCAGACATCTCTCCCTGTGTTGAAAACGGGATCTTGTGTGGGATTGGTGATGGGTTTTCAGCGGTGCCGCTGAGCTTGGGCCACCTCCCACTCACCCATCACAGGCTTCCTTCCCTTCCAAGGACAGCTTCCCTTGGCTTAGAACTTGGGTTTCCTGGTGCAAAGGCTGACCCTAGAGGGCAGTCTTTCTACATCTAAGTATCATCTCTTTGCCACGTTCTTTTGTAGCCATTTCTTAACAATCCTACTTAAAGGGATTCTCTTCCGGGTCCCTTCCAAGGCTGTTTGACGATCTTGGAAATTCTGTTTTCTGAAGCTTTGCAATCTCAGGATCAGTTTCTTTCTTGCATCGTTTAGTTCATCAGGTGCTATTTTCTTAATCCATAAAGTAAAAGCAAAATAGGAATTGATAAGAAAATAACATTTCGTTGTTAAAATATAAATTGAAATAGTCTTTTTTTTTTGGGTGTGTACAAAATATGCACTGCTCTCTGACTGTAACAGTCTCTCAGGTAACTTTAGCTCTGATGTCTGCCAGCCACACCTTGCCCAGCACTTCCGTCAGTACTCTCTGGCACCACGGAGTCAATTAACGCCACCGAAGCACTAGAAAAATCTTGAGGTTCTTCAGAAAAGGGAAAAGAAAAATAGAAGAAGAAGAAGAAGAAGAAGAAGAAAAACCACTACAACACCACAGAAGGCTAAAAGTTCATTATTCACAACTCATGGCGGTGCCCTCCCGGCTCTAGTCTAAGGGGACAGACTTACCCCACCCCTGCTGCTGCTGGCTGCTGCTGTAGCCGTGGTCCCTTCAGATGCCCACTCTGCTCAGATTTGAAAAAAAAAAAAAAAGGAAAAGAAAATCCAGCTCAGACCATCATACGGAGCAAACTTTCCATTTAATCATTCTACACGGGTGATAACTTGTTAAAAAGTTCTGCCTGGCGAGAGAACGGAAAACAATCCCCATTGTCCAGACCCCCGGCCTGGCCTGGCCTGGCCCTCGGAGGCTGCAGCGATGAGTCTACCAGATGTCTCAGTAACGCCAGTAGGTAAGCTCCCGTAGGACACACAAGACAACCAACTGCTCGCCTGCCAGTCTTCAACCAGTGTCCCCTCTGCTCGGTGACACTACTGCGATGATCAGTAATCATAGTAAAATAAATGATCTTTATTTGATACTTTGAAAATAATACACATCTATGAAACAAAAAATCAAAATTCAAACCCAAAAATTCTCCTGCAAATTGGAAGGATGAGAAAGAGAGTCACTGAGCCTTTCTTGAAAGAACCTCTGAAGAAAATGGATTCTCCCAGTTTGTTGAGACAGACAGAGCTCGGGCCTGTCCATTTCCTCTGGGAAACAACCCTCCTAGGCTGCAGTGGACTTTGAGTCATGAGAGGAGGACTTGGTACATGTGCCGATGGTTCCGCGGTGGGTCCCTTTGCTGGGAAAGGGTAGCCGGGCTCTCCTGGGTCCGCCTGGCTAGTTATTGGGAGGAGTACTGCCTTCTCAGGTGTCAATGAGCAGGCCCACCACTGAGCGGATTTTGCAGGCAAACCATCGCCTGAGGGGACAAAAGTATTGATAGTGGAACTGTTCAAACTCGGGGGTCTGGCGGATATCTCGGAAAAAGGCAATGTCAAGGTCAGACTCGGTAAGCACGATCAGGAGGAGGAGCAAAACAAAGAGGAGTCCCATGGTCACAAGGAGCAAACGGAGGACACTTAAAACAAACTTATTCACCTGTTCCTCCTCCGGCCTGCCGGGCCTGTGACACAGGGCCCTCAGCTCTCCCCCAAGGGCCTCCACCTGTGCAGCCGTCGGGGTGCTGGCCTCAGACTCCCTCTCCTCCTCGATGCTGCGGGTGGCGCCGTTGATCTGCCGGGAGAGCAGCATCAGCTCCAGGCTGCGCTCGGCCACGGGCGTGGGCAGCACGCTGTCTGCAGGGCTGTAGGCCTCATCCGCGATCACGGCCACGCGCTCGTTGCTGTCCGCCCGGATGCTTCTCCCGTGCGTCAGGAAGGAGTCCCCGTGGGAAGAGGAGCGCACCGGCGTGGAGTGGGCACTGTCCCGGAGGGACTCGAGACCTGGTGGGGGGCGGGAGGAGGGGGGGGAGACAAGAGGAACAGGGGTAGGCTTTCCACGGCACAACACATCGTTTGGCTCATATGCTGGGAGAGGATGCTCCCTGTACCCCTCCTCTGGCCGTCAGAAGTGGCCACTGCACTTCACTGTAAGAACAGGACAAGAGTAGCCAGTGGAGTGGCCATGATTTCTGGCTTTGGAAGGGAATGCACATCTCAGCCAGAGCTAAGGCCTTCTACAGGAGCCTAATCGGGCCTCGCAGGCTGAGGGCCATGAGAGGCAGGAAGGGGACAATGGGGACATGCTTTGTCTACTCAGGTTTCATCAAACACAAATGGCTTCTGGGGCTGAGAGTCCTTGTGCCCACCCAGCATGCAGCTCCTATCATTCACTATGGTAAGATTTTTTTTGTTCTGATGATGCCTTATACCTGATCCCTTCGACACCTCGTGATCGCATAGGCTGGTGTGCTTCTTCCATGTGGGCTTTGTTGCTTCTGAGCTTGATGGCCGCTTGTTTACCTTCAAGCCTTTAAGACCCCAGACGCTATCCCCAGGAGATAGCCGGGCACCATCAGCTTTCTTCGCCACATTTGCTTATGCACCCATTTGTCTTCAGCAATCGTATCATGGAGGTTAGCACACAATGATATGATTTTTTGTTTTTTGATGCCAGATAACTGATCCCTTCGGCACCTCGTGATCACACAGGCTGATGTGTTCTTCCATATGGGCTTTGTTGCTTTTGCGCTAGATGGCCACTTGTTTACCTTCAAGCTTTTAAGACCCCAGACGCTATATCCTTTGATAGCCGGCACCATCAGCTTTCTTCACCATTTTTGCTTATTCACCCGCTTTGTCTTCAGCGATTGTGTCGGGAAGGGATTCACCTATTCTTGCTAGCAATCTACCCATGAATCTTTTTCTTTCTTTTTTGCTGAGGGAGACAAACATTTTCTTTTTTTCAGAGCCTGCAAAGGGCTAAAGGTATAGCAGGGACCAGCAACACTCCCGACTAGCGGACTTGGGCTCGCAGGCTTTGAGCGTGGCCCACATCGCAGCTGCCAGGAGCGGCTGCCTGCTTCAGGGTCCACGTGGGCATTGCCCACTCCTGACCATCTCTGCGCTGCCTCAGTGGCTCTCCCTGCCTCTCTAGCCCAAGACAAGAAAAGCCAGCCCCGCTTCTGTTGCTAGGAAATAAGCCTCAGCGTTCCAAGACGGAGCCAGATTCCTAGGCTTCGGGAAGGTTCCGACTAAGGAGGGCAGATTAGGGAGTTTGTCACTGTTCATCTTTATCCACAGGCCCAAGGGCTCCTGAAAAGGCATCTGTAACCTTGATCAGTGTCACATGCTCCTCGCCTCTTAGGGGATGGCCCCGGTTTGTGTCCAGGTGGCCTTGTCATAGTAGCGTCTCAGAGGCCAGCTGAGGTTCTCCAGAGGGTGCACCCTGAGAACCAGGTATAAGCGAAGGGGAGAGGGACAGGGCTGGGGAGGGGAGGCCGGACACCTGCTCTCTGTTGCCTCGCCAGGAATATATTCGCCACAGCTCCCAACCTCTGCTCTCAGACACCTACGATCCCTGCTATATTCTGTTTACCCAGTGCATCGATGCTAAAATCTTAGACAAGGATGTTTTCAACTTTTCAAACTTGCAGGGTATCTTTCAGCAACTCCACGAAGTAGTGAGAGTGAGAGGTTCTGGAATTTGCCTGAGGTCACGTGGATAGTTGTTACTGGCAAAGCCAAGGTCAGAACTCAAGGCTCTTTCTAGTTCACAGTGCCGCTGACGGGGCCAGCATGCATTTATATCAACAGCTTGCCCCTGCCCAAGATGGAATTCTCCACTGCTCAAGAACTGTTGTGAAGAGACCTGGAAGAGCCCCGCCCACCTTTCTAGCCTCCCGATGTCCCTCTGACCTCTACTTCTTTTGTCCGGGATTCCTTTCTGAGTTGCACAGGCAGTGTGAGGAGTTTGTAACACGTGATGTGTTCTGAGTTCCTGACGGCAGCAGTTGTTCGCTCTGCTCCCTCCCCAAGCACTTCTCTAGCCCCGCCCCAATCTCAACCTCAGCCAGGGGCGCAGGGCACCTGACAAGCCTCCCAAGGGCCCCCCCCCCACCAGTTGGCTTAATGCAAGTTTCCCTTGGTTTACATTTCAACCCTAAGGTTGCTGGGGAAGGCGTAAGGCAGAAATGGCGACATCGGAGAAGAAATGAAGGGCACCAGAAGCCACAGTCGTGGTGGGTGCCCTCAGGAAACAAGAGAGCGGCCGTGTAGACTCTTCCAGTAGACTCCCTGACAGTTACAATTAGGCAGTGCATGTCACTCTCCCTGCCACAGAAGCCCTTCCTGCAAGGTCAGTCCTGGACAAGCAGCATCCTCTTCACTATTGTGGAATCCACCACCGCCCTGTCCTGTCCTCGCCCTGTCCCGTTCCGTTAGGACATTTACCTTTGGAATGTTTCCGCTGGCTCCCTGGCCCAGAGGTGGCTCCTGGAGGGCTGAGGGGCACAGCGGCCTGGACCCTCACCCGGAGCCGGGGCCCCATCCTCAGGATGCGCACACTCAGGGGCCGAGCGCAGTGATTAATCACCCGCAGTTGAACGTGGACTCTGGTGTGAATCTGAATCAGACTCTTCCCCATCGTGGCCCCCCGGGAGGCAGACGCTTCTTCACGCAAGCAGTTCTCTTCACGAAAGCCGGCCAAGTAGGGGCGGTGTGTAGAGAGGGTAGGGACAGAAAGCCAGCTAGGGACACAGGGTGTTAGCTGATCTCAGAGCACCGGAGCCCCATGATGGTGCCTCTGTGCTGGAGAGAGAAGGCAGCTAGCTCCCGGGCCTCTGAGCTTCAGGGCTGGAGCAGCTCTGGGAGGCCGCCTTATCAGGGGACCAGACTCCGTCAGAGGCACACAGAGCTTGCCCAGCCTGTAGCTCTATCCCCGAGACTCGTGTAAGGGAGCATGAGGGACAGCACAGGGAACAGTCCCAAGGGTCGTTGGAATCAAGTATGTCCCATAAAGTCCCCAAGACACGGGACTCTATCAGGCCATGTATGGTAGAGGCCAGGCCATGGTGTCAGTGACGTCCCACTGTCACCACTAATCTTGGGCTGAGTGGCTCTAAATTGTGAGGAGGTGTCACTGAGTTGAAGAGGCTCTGGCATGGGAAATGGGCTGTGACCAGCGCCCACTGGACTCTACACGATTGGCTCCCTGCTACTGGGTGGAACAGGGTGCAGTGGGTGAAAGTCATGGACACACCCCAGGGTCCTTTCTGGGTCAGGCCTGCTGCTAAGAATAGGGCCAGCCCAAAGCAGAGTCCTTCTTGAAGGGTCCCGGTTTATGGAGGCGACAGTGTTTCGTTCAAACTAAACTGGTATTTTACACATCTCCCCACCATTTGCAGCCCCAGAGAGTGCAAATAAGGCCTCCCCCCAAGACCTGATAGTCCTGTGCCTTACTCAGGGGACGTGGAGCCTCACACTGAGAACGTGACACACCAGGAAGTCCTAAACGCACACCCGATGTCCTCCCAGGAGAATAACCGAGAGGTTGCCTTCTTAACCCACACAATTCATTTTCATTAGCAAGCAGCACTCTGATGGAAAGAGCAGAGGGCGCTCTCTCCCGCAGCCTCCACCTCATGATCCCAGGAAGAAGCCCCTGCTTCCTGCCCTCTGAACCCTGAGGGTGAGCGCTGAACTCCACACCTGGTTTCAGCCTGTGGGGCCAGCTGGATCTATTGGTCGGCAGAGTGACTCTCCTCAGGCTTTGATTTACCCAGAAATCGAGAGGTCCTATGTTAGGTTCACTGAAGACACACAGACTCCCTCTCCTCCTCGAAAGAGGTGGAGGAAGGTGCAAGGACTGGGTTTCCTTCCGGAGAGCAGGGTCAGGTGCTAGCTGAGACCAGAGGACAGCCCGCTGTAACGGAAGCGGAAGGTGGTGGTATTGGTAGCGACTGGAATGCTGCCGCAGTTACTCGGATCCACATGCAAACAGTGGAGACTGCTCAGATCACGAAAACCTCTCGACAGGAAGCAGGGTCAGGATGGTCTGCAACCTGGTCCACTTTACAGGCAGACCGAAAGCAAGCCGTCACTCAGACCTGCAGTCCCCATCCTGGCCTGCGTGATACTCCCCAGCACCTGATAGATCATTTGCAATCCCAGGAGCCCTGGTAGAGCAGCAGGTTAAGCACCAGGCCTCGACCCACAACGTCGATGGTTCAAATCCACCAGCCAACACTTTGTGGGAGAAAGACGAGGCATCTGCCTCTGCGAAGATGTCCAGCACTGGGAACCCTAGAGAGCCCTGTGCTGTGTCTCACAGGGTGGCTCTGAGCTGGAATGGGACCGCCAGGCAGTGGGGTTGGTTTGGTGTTTGGGGAGGAGAAGCTCTGGGGAGGAGCCCAGAAGGCATCCCCAGGAAGTCACGCTCACCTTCCATGATGGAGATGTGAACAGCTCTCCGGCGGGTCCTGGGGACACTGCTCAGCCTGGGGCCGTGGGTGATGGAGGGGCAGCTCTGACTCGGAACCATCCCTGCCCTGAGGTTACGGGACAAAGAGAACCCTGTTAGTGCCATGCATGTCAGAGGTGCTCCGGACTCGGATTCCACCCCCAGCCGCGAGCGCCGTGGCCCTGAGTTCAGTGTTGGCCTGGGGGTGCTGTGCGTGACACACTGGTCTGCTACGCACAGGGGCAGTGGTTTGAAACTACCAGCACATTGCGGGTCAAGGTGGGCACTTCCCACTCCCGTAAAGAGTTCACGGTCTTGGAAGCCCGGGAGGGGGTGGGGTGGGTTCTACTCTGTGGAACTGACTCGACGGCAGTGGCTTTGGTGTCCCAATTTGGTTTAAAGACTTTTCATCCCGTGCCTTTGTCTCTGTCTTCGGATCCCAGTCAGCAACACTGGCTCAAACTTCCTAACCTCCTGCATCCCCGGCCCACCTGGACAAGTCTTTCAGACCACTGGCCTCTGGGAGGAGAGGCCCCGGATGCGCAGTGATCCTACATCACCACCAATACTGGCAGCCTCCCTTGAGTGCCGCCAGAGCTGCTGGAGGCAGGGGATGAAGCTCCTGTTCTCAGTGGTGAGGGCCGGTGGAGGACTCTGAGTCCTGGCCAGTTATGTTCCGACTGAAATTTGCCAGCCTGAGCACACAGTGGCCGCTGGATCTGTAAGCGGCACTCCATCCTTCCCTCCCTCATTCTCCGTCAAGGACTGGGGACACCAAGGCGAGAGACTTACGCCCCCACCTTCAATTGCGATGGTCTCTTCACTCTCCTGCCCTGTCCACCTGCCCTTCCTGGTCACTGCTGTGGTCAGGAGCTTTGCAATAGTCATACTCTTGAGAGCCTTAGATCTGGGCTCGAACTGGTTTACATGGGGTGGGGAGCGGGGGTCAGGTGGGGTGGAGGTGGGGGAGCCCCAGAGCCTACCTGTGTATCTCCGGTGGCTCCCGTTTAATCTTGGCACTAGACTCCATTACCTCCTTGGCGACGCGGCCACTGTAAATAGTATAATATAGTCCAGCATCAAGAAAGGAGACAGAGTTCCGGGCCTGGGCTCCTCTCCAGGGTCTCAGAGGTTTGGGCTGAAGCAGGAGGTGGGCCCCTTGGGCCTTCTGGTCCCTGAGAGAGGCTTGTTTGTTGGGGTAAAGAGTCCTACAATATCCCGGCAGCCTGGCTTAGGAGGTTCTAGCTCTGGCATCTTTGGGCCCTTCCATCCCCATTTGTGAATGACTCCCCATTGTCCAGGACATCATCTCCCCCCAAAATAGATGACTCAAATCTGGCAGTGAGACAAAAGTAGAATCCCGAGCCCGCTCGTATTTGTGGCTGTGAGGAGGAAAGAAGGGAAAAGGTAGAAAAACATAAACCCTACAGGAAAAGCAGGGAAAAGGCAAAGGGGTTAGGAGACAGGAGGATTGCCTAAAAACCTCAGGCTTTTCTGGGGGTCCCCCAGTTTCTTTGTTCTTGAGGGCAAAGGCCACTGAGCACCTGCTCCCCAGAGAAGGGTCTGAAAGTAGATGCACAACGTTTACTTACTACTTACAGTCACTATTTACCTGTATCGGAACCGGCTCCCTTTGAAGAACAAGTTGCTGCTGGACACGGTGCGGACTTGGCTTGACTTCTCCAGCCTGCAGCAGAAGGCAAAGTCCACGGTACGGATGGCCAGGTACTTCCCCCGCCCGGGCTAAGGCCCTGCGTCCCCCGCTCCTTCCAAAGGCTACTTTTAGGGAACTTGACTGAGGAAAAAGCCTTCCAGAGCCCACACACGTCTCTGCCCTTCCTTTAGCGTTGGCACACTATGCTCTCGCCCAGTGGGCCTCCTGCCTCAGGGTCAGGGGTCAGCCTGATTGAAACCCATTTTAAGGTTGGGGATGATGGTCTGGGGGCAATCATAGAATGACACGTTATCTAAGCCCAGGCAGGTCACTTACGTGCAGTGTGGCCTTGGGCAAACCTCTTAGCCTCTCTTAGCCTGTCTTCTCATCTATGAAGTGATGGAGCTGGAACTACTGGACCTCGCGGTCCCCTCCAGTCCTAGCCTCTGGCAACTTGTGTCAGTCCATGCCTGGTTGGGGAAGTAGCTGTCCTTTCTACTCCATCTCCCACTTGGAGAATCTTAAAGGGTTACATTTCAAGAACATATATTTAAGTTCTTCAATGAAGAAACTAGCTTAATGTTTTCATAAAAGCTCCCTTGATTTTATGATTTTAAGTTGGCACCATCCCTCTTGAGATAGCTATTGTGGTTGTATTGGGCTTTGGGTGAGAGTTGACACGGCAAGTCCTGCGACTCCTGCACACAGCCCTCCATGCCCTTAGCTGCGGCCTTCAAGTTCTACCGGTGCGCTCCTCATTTCCACG